TGGAAAGAGGAGATAGTTTTATACAAGATATGAAAGTTTTAAAAAATCCTATAGAATAGCAGCGGAGAAATTTATTGTTTAAAATGCTATTCTTGACAGTGCGCGCTATAATATTATATCTATATACAGTTAATACCGTACAGTATAAGGCCGAATTTCGATTGTTTATAGATTGATGCCGCCCAATGTTAAATAACCAGTGGAAAGAGGAGATCATTTTATACAAGATAAGAAAGTTTTAAAAAATCCTGTAGAATAGCAGCGGAGAAATTTATTGTTTAACATGCTATTCTTGACAGTGCGTGCGCGCTATGTATCTATAATTAGTATTGTCTTACATATTAGTACAGTATAAGGCCGAATTTCGATTGTTTATAGATTGATGCCGCCCAAGGTTAAATAACCAGTGGAAAGAGGAGATAATTTTATACAAGATATGAAAGTTTTGAAAAATCCTATAGAATAGCAGCGGAGAAATTTATAGTTTAAAATGCTATTCTTGACAGTGCGTGCGCGCTATATATCTATAATGGGTATTGTCTTACATATTAGTACAGTATAAGGCCGAATTTCGATTGTTTATAGATTGATGCCGCCCAAGATTAAATAAACAGTGGAAAGAGGAGATAATTTTATACAAGATATGAAAGTTTTGAAAAATCCTATAGAATAGCAGCGGAGAAATTTATAGTTTAACATGCTATTCTTGACAGTGCGTGCGCGCTATGTATCTATAATTTGTATTGTCTTACATGTTAGTACAGTATAAGGCCGAATTTCGATTGTTTATAGATTGATGCCGCCCAATGTTAAATAACCAGTGGAAAGAGGAGATAATTTTATACAAGATATGAAAGTTTTGAAAAATCCTATAGAATAGCAGCGGAGAAATTTATAGTTTAAAATGCTATTCTTGACAGTGCGTGCGCGCTATATATCTATAATGGGTATTGTCTTACAGTTAATACCATACGGTATGAGGCCGAATTTCGATTGTTTATAGATTGATGCCGTCCAATGTTAAATAACCGGTGGAAAGAGGAGATAATTTTATTCAAGATATGAAAGTTTTAAAAAATCCTATCGAATAGCAGCGGAGAAATTTATAGTTTAAAATGCTATTCTTGAGAGTGCGCGCTATAATATTATATCTATAATTAGTATTGTCTTACAGTTAATACCGTACAGTATAAGGCCGAATTTCGATTGTTTATAGATTGATGCCGCCCAATGTTAAATAACCAGTGGAAAGAGGAGATAGTTTTATACAAGATATGAAAGTTTTAAAAAATTCTATAGAATAGCAGCGGAGAAATTTATTGTTTAACATGCTATTCTTGACAGTGCGTGCGCGCTATGTATCTATAATTAGTATTGTCTTACATATTAGTACAGTATGAGGCCGAATTTCGATTGTTTATAGATTGATGCCGCCCAAGGTTAAATAACCAGTGGAAAGAGAAGATAATTCTGTACAAGATATGAAAGTTTTAAAAAATGCTATAGAATAGCGGTGAAATTTATAGTTTAAAATGCTATTCTTGACAGTGCGTGCGTGCGCGCTATGTATGTATAATTAGTGTTGTCTTACATATTAGTACAGTATAAGGCCGAATTTCGATTGTTTATAGATTGGTGCCGCCCAAGTTTCAATAACCAGTGGAAAGAGGAGATAATTCTGTACGAGATATGAAAGTTTTAAAAAATCCTATAGAATAGCAGCGGAAAAATTTATTGTTTAAATTTCTTAGCAAATTGTATTGAATATTTGTTGGCAGTGTGGATAGCTGTTAGGAAAGTATCGTTTTGGAGTGCTTTGAAATGCGTTTGTAAGTTTGTGTGCGGATAACCATAAAGGTAGTAGTTAGCTAATGTGACCTGCATGGTTTATTGCTCCCAAATTGATTTGGGAAAGAAGAAATGGCTGTATTTATCATTTTGACTTTTGAGTGATTGAAATTAGTTAATTTACACAATATCGAATATCATGTTGAATGTCATGTTGAATCTCATGCGTACTTCACAGTGGTAACAAGTTTGCGTATCTGTGAACGCGCATGAGATAAAAATTAAAGATCTAAACAGTTACATTTCGCTGATTTTAGAAGCGCACAAAAATGAAACGGGAATTTTACGAGCGGATTTTGCTGTGTACGACCTTTCTCCCTTCGTTAGTTATGCTGATTGCGGTACAAGCTTCGTAGTCAGTGCCATGAATGGAATCATCAAGAAGAAAACGATTGATAATAAGACCGTTCTTATCTTTGGAGGAAGGCAGCTACCTGAACTAGACTACAAGATTATATGGCCTCGCCGAATTGGGGATGACGGAAAAGAACACACTACCTCTGATCGAGTCATTGATTACGCAGTGATTTGTGTTAGCTCCACACTTGCTCGCCCATGTTGTTGCATTTGCAATTGCAAAGCCGCGTACTTTTCACTTGGGAACGCATTGTTAATATTTTCCATTCTATTCCGGTCAGTATTACTGCAAATTTTCATTGTTGTCGCCTCCTTAGAGGTAACGTATACGTGCAGGTATGATCTCTTCTTAGACTGCTTCAAGTTGTTTTCCGGCCACGACTCCCTTCCAGTAAACTGCACGCTTATCGATCGATCGAAAGATATCGGGTTTGACGGCCAATACACATGCTATCGTTTGGTGTTCTACTACCCAAGCCACTGGGTGCTTGCTTGCGTCTACACGTTTTTGTTCACGAAGTTAATGCATTTAATCTTCCGTTTCATGGCACGGTTTATGCTGCACATAACGAAATATCGATCTTGCAACAGCAATAAGGGACCGGTCATAAAGTAGAGGGGGGGGGTGGGCTATGAAAATTGATTTTTTAAAGACTGGTTTACAGTGACCCACCCCCAAATTGTGACAATAAATTGAGGTGGCCCACCCCTAGATTAGAGCAGAAATCTTAGTGACCCCCCCCGCCCCCCCCCGTCATGTAGATAATGTACTGTACAATAATGTAGATAGGTGCGCGTACGTTGGCAGCATTGGCTTACCACGATTCTTTACTAGTTTAGTCAGAATCCCCGAAAAATCTCCGAGATTGAAATGTTGTAACACGCCGCCCGACTCTTGAACATAATTCAACTATGTCCAAACATAATGCATGACAGTACATTGAGTAGACTACGGTAGCTAGAACACTTCCCA